TATATGTGTGTTTGTGTGCATGTGCGTGCGTGTGCCTGCGTGCGTGAGTGCGTATGTGTGTGTTAGTGTGTGTGTGTGTGTGTGTGTGTGTGTGTGTGTGTGTGTGTGTGTGTGTGTGAGAGAGAGAGAGAGAGAGAGAGAGAGAGAGAGCGTGTGTGTGTGTGTGTGTGTGTGTGTGTGTGTGTGTGTGTATGTGAGTGTGCTGGGGGGGGGGGGCGCTTGTGGAAGGGGGTATAAATAATCTAGCTGTCTTATTTTGTATTAAGTGGGAAGCACTTCACTTTTGGCCTAATGTGTTATTTTTTCGCTGCCCCTGGCACGTATGTTCTAAGCTCCCTACAAGCAACATTAACTTGCCAGAAAAGGTGCCCCACAACATTTGGCCAAATGACACTGTGGTCAACAAAAATCTTTCCACACACCTGTCTTTACTGTTGTTTCACCCCTCTCTCGGGGACTCTTTTTATCTTCGAGTATTTAATTCAATCTACGACGTTCTCACTAAAATGGGTAGAGGATTTTGTAAAACTGAGTCGAATTTCCTAAAGGTCATAATTATCATTAATGGAAAATGGGAGTGGGACAATGAGTTTCTCAGACAACTGTTATTCTCCTGCAAAAAAAGGACGTAAAATTAATGTTCGTAATTTCATTAAATTTAATTTTGATTAAAACACTAGGTCCTTAAAGCCATGCCGAATGAGAGGTTAAATTCAAGAATTCGCAACATAAATTTACTATTAACGACATAAATGCATTGTTTTGACCACACTACAGACGAACCATTTTGTAGAGATCGGTGAGTATTAACAGACAATGCTACCACAAAACCAAACATCAATTAATTGTTTGCAGTGAACAACTGCCTTCTGTAACATCAATATATTATCTCAGTTAAAAGTGAACATTAAAACATCTTCATGGTAATGATCCAAGAAACGAAACAAGACACAAAAGATTGTGTCTGACTTGCTCCACCAAATAAACCACACGACCCAAAACGTATTTACCAAAGAATCACCAGGAAAGAATACTGCGGTCATACGGGTCAAAACCGCCGTCTCTTTCACGATTGTCCAAGATCCTCGAATTTTTCTCGAGGGGAAAAGCTCCCAACACATTTCATTGAAACAGAACATTAAGTTATTTAGTTCCAATTTTTATTCCTTTTTTTTGGCCCCATCTAGATCACAAGGCTTGAGAAACGTCCAATTTTGCGCACTCTGGAGTTGTCTCTCCCTTGTCTCCGTTGTCTCTGCGGCACTCTCAGCCCCTGAAGACGAGCAGACGTCACGCGTTCTTGCTGTTTGCAAATGTTGCCATTTTCTGGAATAAAACAAAACAGAAAAAAATTGTTGCAGTAATATAAAACTGAAAGCAAACAAACATCTGCTGTTCATCCCATCATGTTTTATGTGGCTAAAACATTTTGAACAGGACACTGAATGGTGCAAAATGAAGAGAAAGGTTTGGGAAACGTTTATAGGAAAAGGCTGTTGTCTTCATTTTGCAGCTTCACTCCATTGTGACATTTTTATGCTTTCTCTTGCTTTCACCTAGGTCAGTTTCATTGAGATCTTCCTGGTTTTCTCTCTTAATAGTATCCATCCATCCATCCATCCATCCATCCATCCATCCATCCATCCACAAAAAGATTCTGGACGTTTCACAATCGCCCACGAACAAGCGCGAACAGCCAACGCCCTAAAATAAGTACAGCATTACGAAACAAACACTGTAGTTAATACTTATACTTATATGGCAAGGAAGGTCCATTTGCTTCAAGGTGAAACAATATAAGAGTTGATGTTGGTTCCAGGGCGAGTAAGAACAATGAGGGGGAAAGAGAGGGAATGCCAGAAAGGTGCATGGTGAAGGGGTGGGGGATCGCAGCGAAAAAGAAGGAGCGGGGAGAGTGGTGGGTTAACCTGGGAAAAGGGCGTGGGATGAGCAGCAAGACGAGGGAGTGGAGACGAAATCATTCTGAGAAAAAGTAACACCAACAAAGGGAACCAACAGCGACAGGAAAACAATTCCCCGTCGTGGCGGGACGTGGGGGGCGGCGTCAGAAATGTTAGGAGACTATTGGTAATGTAGTTTGCTTGTCAGACTGTCTAAATGAGTTTGTCAAATTGGCTCCCGTTGTTTGGATACACAGACCTTATGTGGCTGTTAATCACATTTTCTGCCCTGGCACACTGGGACGAGTGACCGGGTGCATCGAAAAGGGGCCACACTTGGATTCAGGCTATATGAACTTCGCAAAAAAAGTTCAGTGAGCAGGCTAATTAAATTGTGAACCCACTGAGAACACAAGCACTGCGTTATCAAACTAATGGATAGGGACAAGTTCATGCTCAACTGACTTCTGGGTGAACACTCGAATTAAATAACAAAGAAAGAAACCATACACCATTCTGGCGGCTAAAGAAATAAACAATACTGTCATACCCACCGTTGTCCCGATTTTATCGCTAGAGGTGACCATAACGAAAATATGCCGTTTGACAAGCTTCAGACGCACTCTCAATTCTCTTTATGAAGAAATTGGGCTAGTATTTAGCTGGAACTTATTTTTTTAAGTGAAAGGTAAATGCATCGTATAAGTTTGAAATCAGCCTTTGTAATAATTAGTTTTCTGTATTCTACTGAAAAATAATGGTAACTATATTTTATGGCGTACAATACCGATAGCTTCACAAACGAGCAGCAAGCATATTCTCATGTCTACTTGGCGAACACGAAAAATCGGATTGGGCTGCTTCCGGGTTGGCATTTTATCTAAACATCTGAAGTTTTGGAGACTTTTGATACGGCTTACTGCTTGGAACACGACATTGGATGACACGAACGATGGGAAAATCGTCAAAGCATAATTTTTTTTCTTCACAGAGGGCGATCAGGCTTTTCAACACTGAAACGTTTTACAACACCACTTCATTCAACATCTATCTTCAATGAAACTGTACAACGTCGGTGGAGAACCTTGAAAATTCCCAAAACAACTTATTCGAGTGTCAAACCAGGGTCCTCATGATATCAGCCCGGGTGATGATCCCAAGTAACCCAACAACGTCCGCTACGAGTCTTTTAAGAAACTGAAAACACCTTGTGTTGACATCACAACCGCTGCAACGATCCTGCGTTATCGACAAGAAAGATGAGGTCTCGAGAAGTTGAGGATTCAACTCTCCCACTTGAACCACCATGGTGCAGCAGGTTAGGAAATTAAATTTTTACACGGGTGTTTGCGATTAAAACTTAAGAGACGTTGAAACTTTTATTTTTCACTGTGATTCAGTGTGATTCTCGCC